TATGGAATGTACAGAGTGGAATTTTTCTATTATTATTAAAAGCAAATAACTGTTTGTCTTTTATTGCGACGTTTTGTCCGGGACAGAAAGGTTATACACTTGCATATTTTTGTGCTCCCAACATAAACTTTGAATATTTACGGTGTAGGTATTCGAAAACGGTGAACTTGCTGGTATCCAGAAAAGGGTTATTGGATTATTTTATTTGTGTGGTAGGTGGTAGGATAGTAGAATTGATGACAACAAGGACACATTAAGAAAGTCAACATTAAAATTAGTTTGATCGTGGAAGAAAAAATCAATGAAACCAGAAACAGTACCGCTGCAAACGGTATTCATAAAATATTGGATGATAGTAATTATCGTAGTAATTAGTGTAATTATACTCCCAAAACAATTGGAAAGGAAGGAATTGGATGTGCTTTGCAGCATGTTATTTGTCCTACTTAAAATTGTTTTTGTATGCTCGTACGTACAACAGTCTACTAAAAGGCACAACCCAGTTGGTATTTAAATATCCAAATTAGCTTATATTTTGAATTATCTATTGAATACATTAATAACACTACAGAGTCATACGTAATGACGATAGTACCTCTTTATACATTAATTCTTTCATTTATTTATAACACWTTGCGTGTGTAAAATAACTTGTTAAATGCACTAACATTTAAGTACATATTATAATATGTTATAAGTAGCCTATAAGAAATAAATTATATGATAATCGATACCTAATATTATATTTAAACTAACTATGAATATCATTATATTAAATAGTATTTATAAAATCGGTTACAAACAAAACAAATTGTAAAAATCCAGCCACAATAATATATATTTATGTCAAAAATTCAAAATTTATAATGATGCATATAACAATATTAGGTATAATAATATGTAATAATATGTTTCTATTATATTATGAAGAAGTTCAATATTTAATGAATCTGCAGTATCAATGATAATAACTAAACTATTATTATATTAAAAATTAATTTATAAACTAATTGTGCAGTAATAGTATTATGGTATATATACTCAGTATGTTTTCGGTGATTAATTATAAATTGCATTACTATTATAGCGACCAATGGCTACTGCCTGTCTAATATTTATCAATTGAGAAACGGATACATGAAGTACCTATCTACTAAATACCCATTCATTGATGGAACTATAGAGTACCGAATATACAAACTCGATAATGCTCRCTTATACTTAATCTGGTAGGCACCTCCTGAATTTATGTCAACTTAATACGGCTTATTAAAACTTGAATACATAACTTCTAGGATTCAYCTTTTTATTTCTCACTAAATGTTTCAAACAAAATAGGAGCTCCCGTAAATATTTAATTATTTCCTGGTAGGAAGCAGGATCACTCAAAAACGAATGTGAATCTTATATGTAAATTTTAGAATAGTTGGATTTATTATAAGAATCTCGACTCTTTATTAAGTATTGTTAACAAAATATTTTTAAAATGTAATTGTATAAGTACATGAAATAAAAACWTAGAAACTTTTTTTTTAAATGCTCAAACATATTATAAGACACTAATAATATATTTTTGTTGTATTTGTTATACTTGTAATAATGGGATCGATATAATGTGTACATTATGATAGTGAATAGTGTGCATAGATTAGTAATTTGTTGTCACATTAACTGATGGATAATTCAKTTGCTATGTTTGAAGTAAGGGAAATAACTTAAAGAAGAAATTKGTCTCATGTTTTTGAACTCAACGACTACTGTTGATAAAGTTCATTACGTTATAATCCAATCAAACAGAAAAAACTTGCAAGTTMATTTAGATACACCTTGAACATTTTATTTGACGGGTTTGTAATTAACAAAATATTCAGTTKACTGACTGCAAATAAAATATTGTTAAAATATCAYTCGATGGAATCATGATTGGTTGCAAATGTTTATTCACACGGTCAGTGTTTGTTTTAAATTTAAATTAAGTAGTAAATATAATTTTTTAATCGAAAACTATCATCTATTGAAGAATAATTTAACCATAAAACATACATAATATTATATAATCTTCTATATAAGTATGTTTTCAGGTTAAAGGTAGAATATTTTAGTGAGTATCGACTTTAATAATGCCTTAGCACTTACATCCTTTTCGGGTAAAAGTAGCAAAATTAAAAAGCATTAGTCATGTCTATTTATGATCACCAACGTATTTGATAAACTCCAGAAAAATAGTATTAGGCATATAATATAATTATATTATATTATACAATAACAATTTAAACAATTAAATCAAACGGATTAATTATTTTTCTTCCGAAGATAAACGATTTTTTTTTCTTTAGAGCGGTCTGAAATTCAAAAATCGCAATAGTTAAGGTTTTTATTTATCCATTAGAAAAAAAAAAAAGCGTACATTATTCCAACATGATAGAGGTAGATACCTATACATAGCATTGTGTGTATGCGGGGAAGAAAAATATAGTCACCGAGGTGTAATTAAGTCGGTTTCGCGATCCAGTTTGTACGCCATTCATGTAAATTATGGTATTATGAAGACCGAGCGCCAGTTCGGCGTTGCGGYGGTTATAAATAATGATGCCCCTCCGCTCCTCAGGGTACACTGCAATGGCTGCGCATTTTAACCAAAAATCAGTAGACGTGCCAGAATTATCACGCCGTTATATAATATTACACCGGTCATTTAAACCACCCAATCCTGACTATTATTTTCTCAGTTTCTGCAACGCGGCACCGATCGACGGAAATCTTAACTGCAGGCGATTACACAYACGAATTTATAATATTAAATTATACCACATGGACGCGAAAAAGTGTTAAAATATTATATTATTATTATAAATGTTTCAAATGTGGTTTTTTCCGGGGCCTCAATTTCTAGTTAAACGAATTCATGTTACGTCTAGTCTATAAAACAGCTACCAGAGGAGTTTGGACCTGTCAAGAGATTTAAAATTTAGCAGGCAGCATCGTTCCTCAGCGACRACTTCATTAACCGATTAATGTCAAGTTAATGATAAGTTTTGTAGGCCTCTAACGTTAAATATGGGTGTGCATGTGTGTGTGTATGTATGAGCGTGGCCACGAATACCTACTTGCGGTCTGCTTTATTTCTGACGTCTCTCTATCAAGCACGTGCGAAAATGATTTTGATGCAATACTAACGCAWTATTATTATGGAAGGAGGAAGGTGGATACGTACCAACTCTGATTGGGATAACTCAAAGCGTGCGTTTAATTCAGTTCGATTCGGTGGATTTTCAAAATCCGACTAAAAAATAAAGTTAATATACCGCTAAAACAATATTGAATATACCGTTAGCACACGAACAAAAGTAGTTATCCGAATGTGCACGTCCGTTATTGCGTCGCTCGAAAACGGTTATAGCGAACAAATAATTTAATCAGATGCTTATTTTTGTTCAATGGTTGTCGGCGCCATCGCCACCATCCGAGCTGACGCCTTCTAGCAATACAAAAGCGTAGAGGCTTACGCACATAAAAACATAATAACATAATAATAATGGGGGGAAAAACATTATTGTAATACCATATAATGACATTAACTCCGTGTTAATGAGCCCAGTGGACTGCGACGAAAAACCCACAGAACATTATTATATTATAGTGTTCGTCGTCGATACAGAAAAAATAAATATTAAGTACACTAAATAGGTAAGTGGAATACAAAATATAGGTAATATTATAAGGCAAACGAAAATAATTTATAAAAAAAAATAAATATCTTCACGATAATAATAGTTATTATATATAATGATAGGGAATATATTAGTCGTTCCAAACACAATTGAAACGCAGAAAGAACTTTTTGTTCGAAAATTAAGTACATGCTATCATGTTATAGGTACTATTATATATAACGCGTTATATAACAATAAGAAAGCCAATAAAACGAAAAACTACTACCTTAAGCGGAAGTTTTTATAGTTCTCCGAAGTTTCCTTTTTAACTGTTTTCATAGTATATGTATTCCCACAGAGCGTATACTATATTCAGGAGGGTTGTAAATTTGAAAATTGAGTTTTAATTTATAACTAACTACGCAGCGCTTTGACATTAAAAATTAATCGACGGTTTACTGTTTGTGATACATAGTAACGATAATATGGGTTTGAGTAAGAACCCCATTGCTTTTCCACGAAATTCTTATTGTTATTGTTGTGTTTTTAGAATCCTTCAAAATTGCTTGAGACATTTAATAATAATAATTAAACAAATAAATAAACCATTCAGTCAAAAAGAAATATTTGATTTTTTATAGTCATTCACATATCTTTAAGTGGCTGTACGTCGAAATCTCTGGTTCCGTGGCATGGTGATTCGATTAACGTTTATAATTTTAAGGTACAATAGCATGTAAAATTCAAAAGATTAAAATATAGCACGGGTCTGAAATAATTTTGTTTAACCATAAATACATTGGTCCATGCTAAAATTTTTGTTTTAAATTAAATACGYGTTACAACGGTAATTTCTGATTATTATGTAAAAAGGTAGGTGTATAAACATTAAGTTATGGTGTACATCATATAATTTAAATTATATTCGAAATTACTTGTTTCGATTTTTTAGATAATTGTTTAAAGTTCATCGTTTTGAGTAACTGACACGAAGTGTAACAAAATACATAAATAACTTTGGTTTTCATGTAAAACGTCCCTTGGAAAATGGATATATTTCAAAGTTTATTCAATTAATAACTCGAGTGCGGGAAGTAGAATCAAATGTACAATGTGGATATATTATAGTGTTCGATAACATAAATCATAATATTATTGTATTATATTACGTAAGAATAACGATCGTACGACAAACTTTGTTGTTGATAAATATTTTTATAATAGTGATAAAAATAAATTCTATATTTCTATAATATCCGTACTATAAAATATAGTATAATACAGATAAATAATTTTTTTTCGTCAGTTTGGCGCTCAATCTCATATATACAGTTTTGTGCGTTTCAGATCCGAGTGTATCGACGCGTTCATAAACAAAGTATTGAACTTGAGGCCAGAAGACATCTGTCGGTGAGTATTTTCCAAGTTTGACGGTTACTAGTTGTTTTCATAAGAACATTATAGTTTGGCTGGGGAATAATAATATTAAAAAGTGTGAAACTTTTATCGCGTCAGCAACTGGAGTGAGCCAAAGCATGAGCGCATATAGGCATCACGAAAATATGTTTCACCAAGATTATAAGTTGTCTGTCGGTGGAGAAGTATTTATTTTTTCCTCCAGTGTGGCAACGGAAACAGGTTATTGATCGAATGTAGTGTACCGAGATAAATTACTGTAACAGCGGCTGATGGGTAAAGGTGTGGGGTCGTGTAAATTATAACTGTAATAATTTGGCATGAAAAATATAAGAGAGTCTGTGTGAGTTAATTGCCAATTTTTTTTGACCTGTGGAAATATCGGTTCGCCATGTTTTGCGATGGTGAAGGATTGAACTTGGCGGGTAGGTATATGTTGGACGGGAAATTTCAGTTTTTACCCTCGGGACATGAAAAAAAATACTCCAATAAAAACATATAATTTTATTAACGGGCAGGTTCGTTTTAATTATTATTTCGTGAAGAATAAAAAAAATAAATAAAGAATCACAGCGGTAGGCAGTTCTTTAGTCGACTGAAAACTAAAAGTCTGTTTATTTTCGTCAGATGAATTTCGTGCGCCATTTTGGAATCCATTCACATGGAATAAGCTGCGTTTGTTCGTTTTCTTTTTTTTCTGGTCACATTGAAAAAAACCCTTTTTTGGCTTGTCCATAAATAATATGACAGCCATACATGGTACCTTACACTATAGTCAGTGTCGCCAYGAAAGAAAGAATCTAAGGAAAATCACATACATTTTGTGTACGAAAAAAAATAGCATTAAAACGATATTATAATTTTTACGAAAAAAACATATCATGATTACGACTATTTAACCATATACCTAACTATAGGTTTTAAACATCCCTAAGTTAATTTTTGTTTGAATTAAAATAAATTATAGGTTTTACAAATTTTAATTTAAAGTATATAAAGTATAATAATCATTAACAAACGTGAATCGTTCTCTGAATACTTACACTGAAGATAAAATGAATATCCTAATAATATTAATTTCCCCAAAATTATTAATGTATAATACATAGTTAAAAAAACAAAAACACAACTAAAAACTCACTATGACTTTGCAATGCTATTGTTTCAAATTGCATACGCATTAGTTTTTCTCTACAGAAGATTCATATCGATATCAAACGTTTTAATTCTGTAATATATCAACAGAGAATATATTACATTCGTTGAGAGGCCTTTGAAATACAAATTAAGAGAAAAAACAATTATCAAGAGCCTTTAAGGAGACGAAMTTCAATTTGATCGGAAACGATTCAGTGCCAACATAATCAAGGTTAATCTACGAAAATCAACTGGTAACGTCAATATTTGTTGTTGACACTATTAGAATAAAAGCAACGGTGAAATATTTCAATTTAAAATTAAAGCGATGAATCAAAACTGAAATAGTGTGTACAACAATCACTACCTTCATCCGTCATTGTAAAAAAAAACCCCCCAATCTAAAAAAATGATAATCAAAAGCGAAACTTTAATCATGACAGTCGTGACATTAATTTTGTGTATAATTTTACTATAATGTGGACCAATGGACCAACACATTTTGTAATTTTGGTATCGAGAAATAATGTGTCTAATAATGTATCATCTCGAGAACTACATCATTATATGTTATTATAGTATGATACTAAATATATATATATAATGGTAAAACTGAAACATTTTACGCTATTTGGAAAAACTGTGAAATTATAATTTTCTTTGGCCATTTTCCACTCGTTCGGCTAAGTTTATTTCTTCAATATACAATAAAATACCACTTTGCGTTATATATTCAAAAATATAATATAATAATAATATTATACATATTATACATAATAAATAAAAATATTTTATGTTTCATTTAAACACCAAGTTCAAGAGCAATAAATTAAACGAGCGAAATAACTGCGCAGAATTCAGGGAAAATAATATAATATGTAACAGGTGAWTTTTACCCCCGGATATTTTTACCGGGGGTAAAATTAACCTAGGATATATTTAAAAATTCAAAATATGTTAATATTTCGTACTGTTATTTTTGTCGAAATGTATTTAAAAAAAGAAATATTTTACAAAAAGTTTTGATTAAACATTAATTTATTAAATTTGATTTATATTCAAAACATACGCATTGAATATTATATCAATTTAAAAACTAAAGCACTAATCACAATTAGTTAGAGAAATTTATAGTTGTTGTGTAAATAATTTAACGATTTCATAAATTGTTGAACTATTTCGTTAATTTTTTGTATGATATTCTCATGGTGCTCAATATGATTTATTACAGATWGTTCATGATCCCCTCAGAAAAATGATTAGGTTAAGTTATTGTGAATATATCTGTGAATAAGTAACTATAAAAATACAGAGTGATTTAGATGGGCACCATCAGGCCATTGAGAAATTATAAYGGTAATTAGAAAGCTGACAAAGTAGGTACCYAGTGAAACAGTTAATAAATCTATGGCTTATAAATACACTTACTCATTGACATCCATAGGAATTTTAACACTTATTGTACTAATTTATTTAAATATGAATGATGGAATAAACCAAATAACTAACTTAGAGAAATCAAAAATACTAACACGTATTGGCCTAAATCCCATTCATTCATCACAAGGATCAAGTTGTTATTAACAGACTATAAGTAAGTTAAAGTCACTCAAATGTGTCTCATGGAGATCTCGTGCGCAAAAAAGAACTTCTATGTGCCAAATTTACGGAAAACCTCTCACAATGAAGTACATCCTGTTTGTCTACTGTCAAAACCACATAGAAACTAGTAAAAGCCTAGGAATGTCTGAAAATATCTTCAAAAGCCTTTAACAAATCGAATACAGCATCAACAAAAACATCTAATTTTTAGAAATTATTTAAATGAATAAATTAATTTAAGAATTCCATTGACATATTTTGTAGCAGGTTCATAACCTAGTATTTGATGCTGTACTATAAAAGAAAAAATATCGAACATGGACGAATAAGTTAAATATTTTATTTAGGTAGAGTAGGGTATTATGAAACTTAATAATTTTTAATAGAGATCTGCACATTTTACCTATAYATTTACATAAAAATCAGTGTTCTAATAATCGTGGTTATTATATTATTTTTTAACTGTATAAAAATAATGTTTAAATGTAATTTAAAATTAGACTTAGAATTCGTTTGAATTAAATAATCTAGAGAGCAAGACCTATATTATTATTGATTTTTTTTCCACTCATTAAGTGAATTCGGTCATTCATGAGTGTAACGGACGGCACGTCATGTAACTGTGTATATTTAATTTATTTTAATGTTTTAAATTTAAAATTTCCAACATCTAGGGTTATAAACTCACWATTAGTTTACGTACATTATAAATCGGTCGGTGGTAAGACAAAAATAACATTATTTACAGTTGTTTACAGTTTTTCGTTTAAGCTTATGTATACATTTATCAACGATAAATGCCATTTGAATTGTTTTTCTTATCGTGATATCTAAATATCGTGAAACCGCTTCTGTGCACATACAAATGATTGGACATATATTTTGTGTGACAAATAGACATAGTTTTGACATAAATGTTTTTCGCGGGCAACCAGATTATATACATCACTCAAAAGAAATTGGTATTCAATCACAGGTGGCAGTTGTATTGAGATTGCTATATAATGCTGGACAAGAAAAGTATTACGAAAATTTAAAAAGTTTTTTTGAAGTTTTTTTACTTTAATATATTTTAATAAAAAATAAAAAAATAAAATAAAATATGACAACCATATTTGAGCGGTGTAAATCCAAAACGCACTATTGCCAAAATACCGATTTTTCAGGAGAAGCGATTTTCTGTATCTTTTTTCTCTTACTAATGTCAGTTAACTGAAGCCCAACAAACGTCATGTATAACGGGTTACACAGTTTTTTTTTTTTTTTTAATTTTAAATTTTTGAATACAAACCCTATKTTTATGGCAATTTGGACTAAATAATAACTTTTGATTTAAATTAAAATATTTTTAAAAAAAAATTTAAGTACGTTTTGGGCTAACAGTTTTATTTTTCTATACCTATAGGTATAGAAAAATAAAACATTGGCAATAGTACGTTTGGCATAACATAAAGAAAATACGTTTTGGAATAATTTATGACAATAGTTCGTTTTGGTATAGTTAATGATTGGTGCCAATTATTTTAACATGGGCAATAGTACATTTTGACATAAAACTGGAAAAAGTACATTTTGATTATCTAAATACTAATTAAGTGCATGGCAAAGGTTAGTTTTGGATTAACCAGTCATTTTTAAATGCGTATTTGTCCATAAAACAGACTTTTGATCTATTCTGATGACACCAATCGATTTCTCGATGTCTTTTCCATAAGAATCGATATCTAACTCGATTTTTTTCAATTTTGGTAATAGTACCTACGTTTTGGATTTACACTACTAATTTTTTTTTCATTTAATTAATTTTTTTTTTGACGGAAGGAAAAAACTAAAGATTTGTTTATAAAGTCATAGTCGCATAAACATTCTTATAATATTAAGGATGGTGTTTCTTTTCGTTTCAGAATTCACTCGTAACTTTTTTAACGCAATCGAAATATACCAGTATAATATGGGCACCAGCGAACTTCGCATATTATTTATGACATTATATAATGGACTGATATTCATTGAGCTTTMAATGTCCTATATACCTACCGAATGATTTTTGTAGCATTTTACACAGTTGTTTTTGTCAAAAGTTTTTATACTTACGGTACAAAAATTAATCGCTTACTACCTCCACTCATTTCGTCAACTTGCTCGAATATTACACAATATACCTACTCGTTTTTCGTGAAATCATTAAAAAAAACAATCGACGTTGACTTCTACTACGCCAGCCGTATTGTTTTACACTCTGTTTAAACTCCGTA